TTTACTTTTTCAGGCAAACTGTGCTTTAAAATTAGGAACATAAAGTGTCAGTTATTCCTTCATTTTCTAAACCCGTTATTCTTAAAAATAATTTATGTATATTTGTTACGTATAATGGGTATTTCTGGGATACTTAAAATTAAAAATCTAAACTAAGTCGTTTCAAAAAATGAGAAAAGCGGTGATATATTGAATGCTTATTTATGATAACTCAGCGTTAAATTGTATTAAATTTATTGAAAAGTAATACATACTCTCCGGCATCTAATTAAAAATATACAGAATTTTGAATATTCACAATGGTTTTCATGCTAGATATTTTTCGTAATTTTTTTTTATTTAAGGATGGCTCATACGTATTATAACATAAACAAATAAATTGACGTTCGTTTCTAACAGTGTTGGAAATTTAGTAGAATTCTAGAAACTGTTATAAAAACTTCAATATTTTGAATCAGAGTTTATGAATATGCAGTTCTATAGCCCATTAAATTTTTGAATAATTAATCGCGCTGATTTTTTATAACTCTTTCTACGCACGACATGAAGGTATTCTCTTATTTAAATATTTTCGTTTAAGATGCGAGATTACACTTTACTACATTAAAATTTGATGGGCTACAAAACAGAATACTCGAAATATTTATAAAAAATATCTTTGCTTAAAAATTTTGTATTTTTGGAGACAGTTTTTACAGTTCTATCAAGTTTGCAGCACAGTTAGGAATTTACATAGTACTTAAATGAAAACTTAACGAAAAATATTTAAAATGAAAAACATTGGAAATNACTTTGACTGCTTTAATAGCCAAAAATCTGCCCATCCCTGTTTTAAACTGTCTTTTTTAACATGGCGATGTCCTACGAAGTGACAATTGTCGCCCTATGCAGAACTTTTGAATTTGTTCTGAGCTGACTCTGGCTTAGATGGCTCTGAGACAGTTCATATAACAACAGTTCCTAGAGAGTTCAAAAAGGGTTACCTCCGGGGTAGAAATTTGGTTAGTTTTGAGCTGGTTCTAAGAAGTATAGTATAGAGCATTTTCTTTAAATAAGCACGCATACAAGTTTGTATATAGAAAATACTTAATTTTATGTTTAAATAGCTATTTATTTTGCACTAATTTACTTTTTCAGGCAAACTGTGCTTTAAAATTAGGAACATAAAGTGTCAGTTATTCCTTCATTTTCTAAACCCGTTATTCTTAAAAATAATTTATGTATATTTGTTACGTATAATGGGTATTTCTGGGATACTTAAAATTAAAAATCTAAACTAAGTCGTTTCAAAAAATGAGAAAAGCGGTGATATATTGAATGCTTATTTATGATAACTCAGCGTTAAATTGTATTAAATTTATTGAAAAGTAATACATACTCTCCGGCATCTAATTAAAAATATACAGAATTTTGAATATTCACAATGGTTTTCATGCTAGATATTTTTCGTAATTTTTTTTTATTTAAGGATGGCTCATACGTATTATAACATAAACAAATAAATTGACGTTCGTTTCTAACAGTGTTGGAAATTTAGTAGAATTCTAGAAACTGTTATAAAAACTTCAATATTTTGAATCAGAGTTTATGAATATGCAGTTCTATAGCCCATTAAATTTTTGAATAATTAATCGCGCTGATTTTTTATAACTCTTTCTACGCACGACATGAAGGTATTCTCTTATTTAAATATTTTCGTTTAAGATGCGAGATTACACTTTACTACATTAAAATTTGATGGGCTACAAAACAGAATACTCGAAATATTTATAAAAAATATCTTTGCTTAAAAATTTTGTATTTTTGGAGACAGTTTTTACAGTTCTATCAAGTTTGCAGCACAGTTAGGAATTTACATAGTACTTAAATGAAAACTTAACGAAAAATATTTAAAATGAAAAACATTGGAAATTAAAAAAAAATCACTGCATAACTACACATTTCGGGTGCTCAGTGATATATTCACGTACTGTGACGAGCAAACTTGTAACATGGTTTAACACTTTATTTCAGGCACCGCTATATTTCTTCCAAGTTCTAACGACTTTCATCCTTTTGTTGTATATTCTTGTTGGTACACCCCTACTCCCTCTCATAACGATTTGAAGTCAATACAACAACAATAAAAAAACCAGTAGACAAAAATGTAAATCAAGGCAAATGTTACAATTTTGCACTCACTCTCAGTTTTGCATTTTACAGTTATCTTTTACTTAGCTGGAAGTCAGTTAACTTTTTTTTCGTAATGTAATTTATTGAAGAAGTGATCACCAGTAAATAATATAGTTAATCAGGAACCATAAATGTAACTAATAGATTTACTGCGGAAAGGCGGGACGGCAGGAAAAGTGGAAAAAACTGTGAAGTTTGCTACTTGAAAATGTTAAGACTGAGAAAAAATATAGCCTAAAGGTGTTCCCTAGGACAAAGGAACTCGGTAAAAAAATATTACGGTCCGATATCTTGTGAACTTAGCAGCAAGTAGCGATGCAGCCACTATTAGAGAAGCGCTTAAGGTATTAAACTTTAACGCAAATCAGTAGGCAGCGAAGCGAAGAATTGCCAAATTGAGCGCAAAGGCATCATAAAGAAGAAAAAAGCAAATTTGATCAAAATACATGGGCGAGTGTGGCAGCATTTTGCTACATCGCACGTAAACCGGACCGTTCCCTATTGGGATATGTTAGGCCTGTCAGAATGCAATAAAATATAAATTTTTATGTTTCAATTGAAGGTTATCTGGTCTGACAATACTAAATTAATCGCTTTCAATCAGATGGCCGCGCATGGTATTGGATCAAAGACCCAAATTAAGCCTATGCGCATCATGTAAGGCAGACATGGGCACTTTTGCCCGTATGGGCTTTTTTGCCCGTATGGGCAAGCGAGCCCATTTCGCGGGCTAGATCAGGGGAAAATCATGGGCAAACGGGAAGGGGGCAACAAATCTTACTAATACACGTATGGCAATGAGAGCCACTGCACACGCATTCTGGAGTAAAAAGGCTCACTTTCCCAAACGTACGCCACATACACTCCTCGTCATTTGAATAGCTCAACTTTTAATCTTTAGTATTTACACTTTTAATTTTGTTTATTTAATATTCATTACATCCGATTTTAAAACTTTATACAGAGTTAAAAAAATGTCAACAAAGGGGTACAATAAAGTGCAAGTTTCAAGTGTGTAAAATAGCGGTAATTTTTGACAATTTTTTTGGTGATAGTGCTGCGCATTTTCTCTCATACAAAGTATGATCGACAAAACTTTTATATGGAATAAAATGCGCAGCACTGTCAATAAAAAATAAATGAATTTGAAAAATCGGGGCTGTTTTAGAGTCACTTTAAACTTGCACTTAATTACACTATAATTGAATGGGCTACAAAACTGCATATCAGAAATTTTTCTAAAAATATTAACTTATTCACTGCAGGTCATTAGGATGGCACACTCCTATGTTGACCTTTTTTAAGAACTGTTTCCAGCTCTCGAGAAAAACGAAAAAATCATATAAAATGCTGCCCAAGAAATGGAAAATAAACTTTCTTTTAAGTTTTAGTTTGTAAAAAATTTTAAAATTGCATTTACCCGTAGAATATGCTATATCGTCACTAGACACGAATAAAGGCGCGAGCTCAAAAGTTGACGACGAAAAAAGACGCATACAAAATTTCAGCGTCAAATACTCTTAACATACTTCGCCAAAGTTTTTTTATAAGCATCTTTTTTTGCAAAATTGTTTTAAACGCTTTTTTTCACCGTCAAAACACCAGCGCGCCTTTATTCGTATGTAGTGACGATATTTTTACAAAAAATTTATATTAAATAAACAAACGGAAAACTGTAAATACTAAGAATTGAAAGGGTGTGCAATTCAAATGACGAGGAGTGTATATGAGCAGATGTGATCACTACCACAAGTAAACGCGAGCTGAAAGCGTGATTGTGTTAGTGTGCCAATTACGTTTGAATGAATTTGCGTTCGCTTTGTTACGCTCTCGCATGTATTTGCATGTGATGCTTACGCTCTTTAAGCAGGCGCTCACTCTCTGTCCATGCTTGTATATGAGCAAATTTGACATCGATATAACTGTTGCCAACTTTGTGCCTTTCGCAAGAAATTAAGTGCGTTTAGGGAATTAAAAGGCGAAAATTGTTTAGTTTAGCGCTTGTTTTGTTCTTTGGTGCCCTTTTCAAGGCAATTTTATAATAAAAACGACATTCTATGGTGACATTGTATTTGACTTACACATATGTTAGTGTTTGGCCGAGCTTCTCCTCTGGATAATATGCTCCAAGATAATCCAAACGCAATATTTTCACACAGTCTCTATCACGGAATCCATAGAATATTCTGCTAATTAGCTGGGTGTGCGCATTTGTACAAAAGTAAGCAATTGCATGAAAATAAAGCCTCTAGAAAAACCAAGTTTTGGAAATTGTTTTACGAATAAAAAAACATTTTGCAAATTAAATTTATTAAATTGATTAACTGCGCATAGTTGGAAATATTTACAAGTTTCATTGTGTGATTACTTAAGATATTTGAACATACAGCTTTATATGCGAAAATACCATTAAACAACACAACACAAAATTGGTGTTTTTTTTGGGGGAAAATTGCGCTATTTTCAGTATTTTGGTGCTTTTTTAAATAAAAAACTTGGCGATCAGGGCTGCCAACTTGGCTCAAACCGTGTCATTTTTGGCACTATTTTACTTGAAATGGCACTGAATTTTTCAATTTTGCACAAAGTGCCAAAATGGCACTTTTGAAAAAAATCCTAATTTAAATACATTTTTGTGAAATCCTTTCCGTGTACTTCTTTTTCTCAACTAAAATTTTCTAATTTCTATAGTGTATACAACTGGTTTATCTTACTTTGACATTGGGCTTTTCTTTTAATTTGTCTAATTTTAATGCTAATGGGAAGAATTAAAGAGAATGACACCTTTTTTTGCACTTTTAATTTTCTATTTGGCACGTTTTAGCACTTTTTTATCCTCAATATGGCATTTCATAGCTATGTATGTTTGGCAGCCCTGTTGGCAAATTTGATCCCTAGCTGGCTGCTGGGTTCGGACTACAAAAATGTAAGTAAACATCAAGTATTCGCAGTAGATGTGCATTTCTTATCTTTATAAAAAACAATTAATTTCTCCTCGTATCCTTGTACAAGTAAGGAACTAAAGCGGCCTTATAAGGGTCGATATCTGTAGACTGGAAAATCGACCAGCTAGTGGTTGAGATGTCATTTACACGGGTCGATTTTGGTTGAACGACAAAATTTACATTCCCCCATTCCTCACTTCACCCTGAAACGCGCTGTCAAAATTGAAAATTCCG